TGGAAGATCTGAATAACATTATTGAGCACCTTGGCTTCATGGGTATTTATTGAATCACACACAGAACTGCTTTGAAATGCACATTTTATCAAGTGTGTTCACTAAGATCATAAAATGAGTCTTGATTAATGTAAATGAAATAAAAGAATATAGCATGTTCTCAGAACACAATAAAATAAGTTCAGGGCTGGGGTTGTAGCTCACTGGTAGAGCACTTGCCTAGCATGTATGTGTGAGGCACTGGTTTTGATCCTCAGCACCATGTAAAAATAAATAATAAAATAAAGGTATTGTGTTCCTCTATAACTTAAAAAAATTTTAAAAATAAAACAAATTAGAATAAATAACAATAAGAAGTTTAGAAGAAAACAAAGATTTAGAAATTGAACAACATATACCTAAATAATCATGGGTCAAAGAAGAAATCACAAGTTGAATTAGAAAATACTATGAACTAAAAAAATAACCAAAATACAATATTTCAGTTTTTATGGAATGTAGCTAAAGGAGAACTTAGAGGGAAATTTATAGCTTAAAATATTTATGCTATACAAGAGAAATATCTAAGTCAATGATAACCTTGGAAACTTTTCACCTTGAAATGCTAAATGATCAAGAAAATCAGAGAAAGAAGATAAATTGGTAATATCAGAAATAAATGAGAACTTACCATACAGATGTCACAAAATTAAAGGGATGATATTGGATATTTCAAAATTAAGAATGTTATGAATTATTCTATGTGCCAAATTTGCCAATCTAGAGAAAATTTATAAATTCCTTGAAAAAAACAATTTATCAAAATTCACATAAGGGGGAAAAAACAGAAAATGTGAGACATATGTTTATAAGGTTGATTTTGTAGTCAAAAGCCTAAACTAAACCTAAAGCCATAAACCTTTTGGAAAATAAACTTGAAAAACTTCATGACTTGAGTATGCTTTCTTGAGCCAAATTTTCTTTTGCAGGTTACCCTAAAAGGGAAAAGTATTCAAGAAATTAAACCTCACCAAAATTCAGAACTTCCATGCATTAAAACATACCAAAGAAAGTTTACAGCAAACCTGTCTTCTGAAAATAATTTCATATCTGACAAAGGACTAGTTCCTGAATACATATCCCACAATTCAATAATAAAAAGACAAACCATCCATTTAAAAAAAGTGGCAAAATGTTTTGAACAGATTCTTCAGAAAAGATACATAACTGCTCTTAGCACATGAAACAATGCTCATCATCATTAGTCATCAGGAAAAATGCAAGTCCAAACCACAGTGAGTTACTAAAAGACGGCATCAGAATAGCTCAAATTGAAGATGCTGGCCAAGATGTGGAACAAATGGAACTTTTAGTGGGAGAAAAAATATGGCTCAAACATATTGGAAAAAATTTTGGTAGTTTGGTATAAAACTAAAGACATACTTACTCTATGATCTAGAAATTCCAATCCTAGATTACCTTAGAGAAAGAAATCATGTCCACAAAAAGCCTTCTACACAAAGTTTCTTAGCAATTTTATGCAAAAAAAAAAAAAAAGTTACCACTAGGGAAAGTCCTGCAGCATATCATGTTGAAAATGGGTGAATGAGTAGGTTCATGGGTGGATGGGTGAGTAAATGGACAGGTGGACTGGTGGGTGGACGGATGGATGAGTGGATGGGTGGATGGATGGGTGGAAGGGTGGGTAGGTGGATGGATGGGTGGATAGGTGAGTGAATGGATGACTGAGTGGATGGGTGGATGGATGGGTGGAAGGTGGGTGGGTAGGTGGATGGATGGATGAATGGATGAATGAGGAGGTGGGTGGGTGGATGAGTAACTGAATAAATGAGAGAATAAATAAATGAACTTATTTTGACTTTTTTAAAAATTAACTCTATACACACTTCCAATAACAAGTTAAAATACAGTCTTAGAAAAAAAGTAGTGGCAAGTGTACTGTTAAGCCCAGAGCTTTCTGATTTCCAAAAAGGATGAATGTCATGAAAGACCGTGAGCCCTGCTGGACCTTGTCTTGCCTCACCACTTATCAACAGTGACAGGTGTCGAGCATGGTAAGATGTTTCGGGAACTTAAATGTACACAACAGCACTTCCTGTCCCAGTGTCATATTTGTGCACTAAAAATTCCCCTCCAAGCCAGAACTCTCATGCCACACACTTGAGAAAAGCACAGCAGTTAAAGTCTCCACTTCCCCGCCCCCGACCCCCTGGGGAGCACCTCAAGGAATGACCCAGGTGCTCACTTCTTAGGCGCGGCAACCGTCCAAGCTGGTCTCCACCCAGGCTCCCACAACACCTGCGCCCTCTGCCTGGGTCTTGACGTACTTGACCTTGACGTACTTGACCTTGCTGCGCAGACGGCACAGGGCTGGTGCCTTCTCCAAGGGGAGCCTGCTTCCCAGAGGTGCTGTGCAAGGGGGGCCACTCCTCATGGACAGACTCATCAGCCAGTCCCTCTGACACCCCTCTGAGTGCAGCCAGCCCTACAGGGGTGGGGAAAGCGAGGTGACAGGGACGGAGAGCTGCCACTGGCCCCCCACCCCAACTGTGAGGCTGGAGTGAGTGTCCAGAGGGCAAGTTACTTATTTGGAAGGACCCCAATGGAGGAAGAGGCCAGCACAGGCCATGGGGGTCAGGGACACAGGAGCACCTTAGGAGGAAAGCTGTGGGTGTGCCCAGGCCACCTGCAGGAGGGTGGCCGCCAGCACTGGGCCCCTGGAGACCTGAAGGTTCTAGTCCTGGCCTTTCCTGCCACATCCTTAGACTTAGGAAGTGCAGGCAAGAAGGACGGGGGAGACCCCGAGTCCAGGCCCTCGTTCCAGCCAGGGAGGAGGCAGGGCCTGCTGGGGGCCAGTGCGAGGGCCAGGCAGAGGACAGCAGGCTGGGAGTGGGCGACTCAGGGGGCAGCAGAGGTTAAGGGATGTGTCTGAACAGTGCAAAGCCTGCCTGCAGGGTCACTGCGGCTCCTCTCGTGGGAACCTCCATAGCTCCTCACCCCATGGCCCAGGCCTCCAGGGCTGGTCACCCTTAAGTGGAGGCCGGGAGGCTGGGTGGGCTCCACAGCAAAGCAGGCTCCCTGGGGTTCTCCAGCGCTCCCCAAGTGGCACATATCCTGTCTGAGGCACCATTTCCAGGACTCCAGCTGGGTGGAGAGAGCTCCCGGGACTGCTCAGACGGCTCCCCAAGCCACGGCCTCTCCTGGTGGCTGCCCCCAGGCCCTCCCTCACCACCTGGCCGGAGCCTGTGGGTGCTCTCGTTCTCTTGCCTTCTCACCAGGCCTTAGTCGGGGAGAGGACAACCCTAGGGTGTGTCTGCAGGTAGACATGGACAGACAGGTTCATTCTAAGGAACTGACCGCAGGTAAGCGTAGTGGCTAGCAATGTGACCTCACTTTGGCAGGGCAACCAGCAGGCTGGACACGCAGGGGAGGGCCGATGCAAGGCCACCAGGAGGCAGAGTGCTTGTACCCCGCAGAGCTTGGTCTCCTGGGAACGCGACTGGTTGGATGAAGTCCACCCACCTCCGGGAGGGCCCTTTGCTTCACTCAAAAAGTCTCACCTTTGAAAAAAGGACCTTCACAGTGCCAGACCGATCAGCGCTGGTCTGAAGACCTGTCTCCCACATAAAATCACCCGTCACACACCACTTTGTAACTGACCCATTTCCGTGCTGCTCTCTGAACAGGACTCCTGCCCTCAAGATGCCCTCTGTTTTGTAAGGATGGCAAGGTCTAGTGTAGCTCACGGCCCCGGTCAGCAGCCTGGAGGCCGTCTGTTAAGTTAGCAAGTGCCGCATCTCACTGGGCAATGTAAACAGCCAGCATTTTAATTTATTCACTCAGGGCCTCTCTAAGTTGCTAAGGCTGGTCTTGAACTTGTCATCATCCTGCCTTGGCCTCCTGAGTAACTGGGACTACAGGCGTGTGCCACCAAGCCCAGCTTGGCCAACGTTTGTAATGTGTGCATTGAGGACTCCGAAATGGGATTCTGGCAGGGCAGAATGCTCTAGTACCACACTGTGCCTGTGGTTAAGTCTGGATCATGTGACAAAGAGAGCTTGAAGTTTCAAAACTTGGCTCAACTCCAGAACGTTCTGCTAAGTGCATGACTCCTAAACACACCATTTCCAGAAAGGTGCTTGGGCCTGCTTGGGTCAGTACTGATCCACGACAGAGTCTAGCACAGCGCCCGGCACAAGGTGTGCATTCAGCGACTAACTAACGAGTCCTGGGATGCGTTGGCAGAACAAGGAGATGAGGGAGGCAGGGATGGGGAGGCTGGTCGAGCTCTCCAACGTCTCGGCTGAACTCTCCACATTGTGAATGGGCTGACCAAGGCATGGGGTTGCTGAAACAGCAGGTCCTTGGTCCTCAAACGGACCTGGGTTCAAATCCCAGCTTTGACACTTGCTGCCAGTGAGACCCTAGGTAAGTGGCCCTTCTTGCATGTAAAATGGAAATACTAATAGTCGCTTAAAAGGAGGAGAACACCTGGCCTTCGGTAGGTGCTTGAAGCCATCGTGGCCCAAGGGAATGGCTGAGTCAGCGGGACAGGCCAGGACTGGCTTGAGGGACGCCTTCTGCTTTGTCAAAGCCCCGTCCCCTTATAACTGTCACAGCCTCTCACCCGAGACAGTCAAGGATCACCAACACAACTTCCCAAACAACAAATGCCCCTGGAAAGAGCTGCCTTTGCGGTAAGTCTGAGGAACTTCCCCGTTCCCACCCCCCCCGAGGTCTGGAGGGCGACGTGGCGTTATCAATCGTGAAATGATCACCTCCGTAATTCCCCGACGCAGGGGCAACTCGATTTTCAAAGTAACATCACACCAGATCCAAAGGAGACCTTTCAGACTCCTTCCACGTTTCAAATCTGCCAAGTTGAAACCTCTAGTGCCAGGCGAACACGAGGACGACCCATGGGACACAGGTGCGCTCAAGCCCGGGCTCTGGGCGGCTGCGTCAGGTGGGTGGGTGGGTGAAACGCGCCAGATTCTTACCTTTCCAAAGCTCCCTTTACCAATGGCCCGCAGGATCTGAAAGTGGTCAAAGCTGACTGCAAAAGAAAGAGAAAAGAGGGACCAGTCAGGCTTCAAACCTGTCCCCCTCCAGGCCTCGGCCTGTGCCCGCGGCCCTGAGGGTCTTCTGTTCCCACCACGCTCCCCTGCCACAGGGCCCTCCACCCTACAAGGGGCTCCCGGGCTATCGGCCCCTTCCATGTCTCCCCACCCACTGCTGACATGCAGTTAAGCTCTCACCAGCAGCACGCACGATGGCCATGTCTTGGGGGCCCAGGGGAGGACAGGAAGGGCTGGCCATCTGGTTTTACACGCTGCCCCCTTCTCTGGGAAGACCTTTCCCCACCCTGGCCCCCAGGCCAGTGTCCCTGCAACAGGTGCCACCACTTCATGGCCTGTTCCTGTCTGTCTAACCCAGCACTGTGGCCACTGGCAGACGGGCGGGCGCTGTCCACACCATCCTCCTGCAGTGCTCGGTCACACACCTCCCCCCCGCCGTCCCCCCCTAGATGGGCCCCACATTCTGCTACTTCTACACCCTCATTCCCCACCCTGCTCCGACTGGCCTCTACCCATCCCCACACCACAACAGGTGAGCAGTGACCCCCAGACCCCTGAGCTGCCTCCTGGTACTGACCACTGCCTGCTTGGCTTCCTTGGCAGTACACCCAGTGGTCCCCTTTGCGCCTGGCCTTGCCACACTTGACTTTATCTGCCGGGTATCAGATGCCTCCTCCGTCCACACTCTGTCCTCCTTCCTTCCTTTCCTCGTGGTGTCTGACCTTTAGGCTGTGTGGCCTGGTGCCTTCGCCCCAGCTCCTCGGAGGCCGAGGTCCTCCAACCCAGCAGGGGCGCAGACCCAGGAGGGCGCAGGGCATCCCCGGCTGCTCAGGCGCAAAGCCTGGAGCCCCTCCTCACCAGCGTCCTCTCCTCAGTCTGTCCTGTGTCAGGTTGGGTCCACGTGGCCTCTTCCCAGTGCCCACATCTGTGCACCCCAGAGAGCCCCTCTGGTCTAAGCCACCTTTGCCACTTGCACCAGGGCAGTGGCCTCACAAGGTCCCTTCGGCCTCTGCCAGCTGGGTCACGTGAGCCGGGCAGAGTGCTGCTGCTCTGCTCACCCTCCCCGGCCTCCTCTCAGTGGAGAGAGCACACTCCTGTCAGGGCTGCGGGGACCCAGCTGCCTCTCCCCCTGCCTTCCCACCGCGCCCCACCCCCTGGGCTCCAGGCAGGGTCTCCTCCTCGTGGGAACCACCGCCCTGCGCCTCTGCCACACGCTCCCTCCTCTGCGTCCCAGGAAGGCTGCAGTCCCCCAGGAGCCCACGGGCCTCAGGACCCCTCTCGCAGCACCACGGAGGGAGCCACGGCCCACGTATCTGATGAAGCTCACCTTCCCCGTGACCCCAAGCCCTGAGGTCAAGGCCGTGCTTGTTTTGTTACTGACCCCAGGACCCAGCGCAGTGCCGGGACCCCAGTGCTCAACACACACTCACTAACTCAGGAAGCACCGACTCATCCCCGTATTGTGCATGAGAAGAGTCTGGTGAATATTTCTGATTCAGACTGAATCGCAGCCAGTTTCCAATAACTAGGAGAGACCCGCTGCTCACAAAGATGAAGGAATGGACTGGTCAGCGCGGGAGGGAGGCAAGGTGTGGGGAAGGAGGGGAGCACAACCAGTTCCCCGTCTACGAGGCTTCGGCCGTGGAGCTCATCATGGTGAATGGTGTCTGTGCCAAGCCACAGTCAGAGCCCGGCGAGCGCCAGCCTGGTGCCCAGCACAGAGGCGGGTTAACGGTTAACCCAGCCGACCTTGCTGCTTTGACCTGGATTTGTTTACCTTCAGAATGATTCGCCAGAAGAAATTCCTCACCCTCACCCCTTACTCACTCACAAGGGTCAGGGGAAAGGAAGGACGCGGAGCCCAGCCTGCCGCTCCTGGTGTGACCTGCAGCTCCTGGTATGACCAGCAGCTCCTGGTGTGACCAGCAGCGGGCTCGCAGACCCACTTCCTTCCTGTGAGCCCCAGGTCCACAGCGGCACAGCCACCTCGCTAAGGACCTGCAAGCCGTGGTGACTACCATGACCCTCTGGAAGGCCAGCCCTCCCTGCCCTACCTGGGGACCCCTGTGGCCATGACATACTGCCCAGGGGCTTGCCATCTTGGGAAGCTTCTCCAGCACCTGCAAACCACGTCCTCCTGGGAGTATCCCGGGGTTTTCCCAGCTGTCCAGACAGACAGCTTAGGCCACGACCCACGTGGCCACACTCGCAGTGTCCGTGGACGAGCCACTGTGTGCCTCAGTCATCGTCCTGTAAAACAGGAGCAAGGGCTTCGGCCTTCACAGAGCGCTCAGGACAGGCCAGCACGCCGCCCCTCTCCCCAGGCACGAGCTCTCTGTTTGGGGATGAGAAACGGGGCTCCCTCTACTCTGTTGTCCGGGGATGGGGGGAGACTTCCCTAAACGCGTGTGGCCTCCTGCTCCGTCAAGTGATGTGAGCTACCGGCACGGAGCTGGTGAGGGACTGCAGGGGTTCCCACGCACCCCCGGCCCTGCCATGGCTCTGTCTGTCTCCATCCTGCGGAAGCTGGTCAGGGCCACCACGAGGAGCCGGCCATGGGGTCCAGACCTGCCTCTGCAGGTGGGCGGGGCCAGCCACCTCGGCTTCCATGCAAGGTGAAGGGAGCCCTGGCTGCTGCCCTCCTGGTCTGTCCCCCAACCCAGCCCTGAGCCTCCTAGATGGGACACTCGGGTCTCCACCCACCTCCTCTTCTGTCTTGTCTAGGAACGGGCAGGTGTTGGGAGTTAGCAAGAAAACAATTAAAGGCCAAAGCCGCTGTTATTTAACACACAGTAGTGGATGGATCATGTGGTAAGGGTCCCCACCCATCCACGCGGGTTCCTGGGGGACTCTAACCTAACCGGGGAAAAAGGTTCTGGATTGATGCTTATTTGCTTGTTTAGCTACGTTAGTGTAAATGACTTTGCGCATGTGGCTGAAAGTGGCATCTCCCGGGACCTGGCATGCTGATACGCGCACCTCAGGCCTGGAGTACACGGGGAACTAGTGAAGGCCACCTGCTGGGTGACGGTTGGGAGAGCCAGAGGCGAGTCCTAGAAATCCCACCGTCATGTAGGGGCGTTGGCTTAGACCAGGAGGGGACGGCCAGGGAGTGGGTCAGAGTCACCCTCCAGTGACCCTCCACCCTGCTCTGCCTGGAACCTTCCAGATCAGCCCGGAGGTCCTGCATCCCTGGAACCCCTGGTCTGGGGAAGGGGCAGCTGGTCACTACTAACTGTGGCACCTGACGCCGCCGCAGCCCTGCAGGTCAGAGGGTGACGGGATGCTGAGTGCGTTCTGGAGCAGAGCCCTCTGCACCTCCAGACGTGTGTGGTCACCAAGCGTGACTCCCTAAGTGTGCCCCCGAGGGGAAACGGGCAGAGCCCAGGGCGCCAGGGGCCTCTCCCCACACGTGGGAACCGTCACAGCTGCCCTGAGAGCCGCCCTAGGCACTGTGAGGGGGCACCTGGGCCCTCTGCTCGGCCAGGCTGACCGGACTTCCCTCTGGACCCCAGCTCTGTTTGGCACCCGAGAGGCCAGCCCCAGCAACAGGACGTAACCCGGGAACCCAGGGGGACCCTCAGGCTCAGCTGGAGCCTCGTGAGGACAGGTGGGTGGGCCCCAGGTCCCTAGCTTCTGGGGAGGGGCCAGAGAATCTGCATTTCCAGCCAAGGTCCAAGGCAATGCTGAGGGAGCCACGCTGTGAGAACCACTGGCTAGTTAACCTGGACACTTGTGTCCCTTCGTCACCAGCCACTTCCACAGCCAACAGCGACCTTGTAGCCAGGCCTCATCAGCGACAGCTAAGCAGAGCACTGTTGGAGATATTCTAGGAAGCATTTTTTTCTGATAAGAGAACAGATACACCTTTAACCTTCCCACTTTTCCTGCCCTGAATGTGACTGCCCTGTCAGCTCCATTCTGAGCCGTCTGGAGCTGCAGCAGCCATCTTGTGACTGAGAAGCAACAAACACAGAGGCAGAGAGGTCACTCCTTGTGGTGAGCCTCTGTGCCAGGCCTGCAGCTCCTGACCCCTGCAGCACTAGATAAGAAAAAGACAACCTTCCTATTCAATGAGTCGGGTGAGCCATTGCCAGAAGCATTTCTTCCTGACTCTCAAGCCCTGGCACATAGAAAGGGCTTTGTAAATGCTACTTTAATGTGGAATTTACAGCCCCTTAAGTAAAATCACAATCGGAGTTGTTTGGGGCATGAGTACAGGGCCAGGTGCCTGGATTCGAATCACCAGCTGGGTGACCTTGGGGAAGTTGCTTAACCTCTCTGGGCCTCAGCTTCCCCTTAATGATGTATCATTATTGGACGTGAAACACCTCCTGGTGTGGCTGCTGTGAAAGGTCAACAGGTCGGCACAAGCAAGGTGTGTGGGGCCTGAGTCAGTGGCTGCGGGCGGTCGCCCTCCTGTCAGGTCCATTCTGAGTGGCTACCCCTCACCTCCCCCCACCGATGAACACGGGCCTGATGACGTCACAGGAAGGACCAAGTGAGGACAGGGAGGCCCACTAGGGCCAGCTGCCACTGCTGTGAGCGTGGCCAGCTGAACCCAGGCGCAGGCCGAGGCCCCTCCCCCACCTCCTCCAGGCCTGTGCGTCCCGAGGAGCGTCCCTGCTCTCCGGAGCTGATCTGGGAGGCTCTGGTGGCCAGTCACCCCAGCAGCGTCCTGGGCACCGCCCGGGAAGCCAGCATGTCCCTCTTGCCCTGGAGGCGGAAGCCCTGAGCTCCGCTGGCCGGGCTGGTGCCACCGAGTGGCTTTCCCAGGTGACCGCCCGGCTTGACGTGTGTGAGGACCGGGACGCTCCGCCAACCGCTCTGGTCCTGACCCATTTAGGAACCAGAGGGCTTGCCGGAATGTGCCTGGCCCTCCACAGCCTCCCTCTCCTCGCCCACTTGACCGCCAACCACGCCCCTGTTTTCTGCCTGATCCTCTAGGCCTTTGGGCTGGGGTGGCCACCTGGAGTGG